GCTCCCATTAGATGTTGAGTTACATTGCAAAGTCCATGGAGTTAGTGAAAGTTCAAATCAAAAGACCTTTATGATCCCTCTCAACCTTTGCATACACCCTCTAACCATAGTGTCTTCATACATGCTATTTTCTCTGCTTGACATTCTCTTTCTTCACTTCTATTTTGTTTATTTAACTATACTTCAGATGTATCCTGAAGACCTCAGTTTAGTCATTATTTCTTCAGAAAGTTGTCTTTTCTTTTGTTCACTGTTTCCATTTACTTTTAATAATACAATATACCTTTTGATGGTAAAACATATCACAGATGCAACTTTATATTTATGAATATGTTCTAAATACAGATTCCTTATCTTTAAAATGAGTTATTTGTCCCTCATGACTCACCTGAATGGTGATACATCTTCTGTTGAAGGGCTCCTGACTGTCTATTAGACGTTGTGTGAGATAATTAAGAAACCCTTAAGACTCGTTCCTGACACTTGAGGAACTATCAAATTGAAGGAGGTAGCTCAGAAGTATAAAACTACTAGAGGCAACCAAGTTCAAGATGTAACCAAGCCTTTTTTGCAAGACAAAAACTGCTTTGTTTCATTTTTTTTCCCAAGGACCTGTCTCTCTTTCTATTGTTTATCTAATCTATATGTTGGTATATGAAAGGCAAAGCAGCTTAGAGGATAAAGTAATCTAATTAGAGAAGTAAAAAGAAGCTTGGATAACAATGGAAAACCAATAAAAGTAAGAGGGAAGGAAGGAGAACTGCAATTGGCCATGTCTGTCAAAAATTTTCTTTCTTATAGTGAATGGCACAGGATCAACGTTCACCAAATGTTATGCCAATAGTTGATATTTATCCTGGCTCTTAAGAGCATAGAAGAGAAAGAATGCCTATGTAAATTAGAGACAGAAGGTGGTACTCTAGAAATTAGTAAAAAGAATAAGGTGGACGCCAGTTATAAGGCAGCTCAAATCCTTAAAGGATAAAACTGTACCAAAAGTTAATCATGCGAAAAACAGAATAGGTCCTCCATTAGTCTATCTGAATGCTGCAGGTCTCCCAGACCCTGTCATATGGATGTCACTAGAAGTGATTACTTTCATTCCTAATTTACAAATGATACATATATGCAATAACCATGGACCTGTTCCTAGCTTAGAAATGCTGTTACTACCTGGGAAAAGCGAAACGAAATCTAAAATTTTATGATAATCTAAAGTTTTGAAGGAGGATGAGAAGAAATTATAAAATAGGATTCACAGGGAACTAAACTAAATATTCCTCTTCAACAATATATTTTTTCTCTCTCTCACTACCAGAAGTCTTTCTCTTATTTTTCCATATTCCAAAGTGAAAATGTTCCCTAGAGACTTCAAAATACTGTCAAAATCACACACCTTTCGAAAGTTGCTAGTCTTCCATACCTGAGTGTGAATTAATTTAATTGAGCTATGTTACTTCTCACTTATAGTATACTAAAGGAATGCTGATTGATTGTTTTTTGAAAGATTTTTGTTATAAGGCGTGCACACTCACCAGAGAGAGACAGGAGACAGAAAGTGAGAAATCACCCCCTGGGAAGATGGCCATGTCACAATCCCTTCTCCTTCAGTCACCTCTTGGGATTATGGGCATACATGCACAGGCACCCAGCATGAGTTTGAAGCCACTGGATCTGGGACTCGAACCATGGTTGACTATGTTGGGGTCCAGTGATGTAACTGTTATGCCATCTGCTGGTCCCCAAGAATGCTGATAACAACAAAGATCAACAGACAACCTGGGTGACATACGAATGCTGTGATTTGGATAATGATTTGTTCCCCTAATGTTCGCATGTTTTTTTAATTTAGATGTCCCCTAAAAATGTGTTGGGACTGTGGGACCATCAATTGGCGTAATGGCTATGTCACTGGACTCCCACGTAGTCAACCGCAGTTCTAGTCCCAGACCTGATGGCTTAAACTCACACTGGGTGCATGTGCGTGCATGTTCAAGATCCCGAGGGGAGAATGGAGGGGAGGGGATTCCGGGGGGCCTATTCCCCCCCCCCCCCCCGGGGGGGGGGTGATTTCTCTTTCTCTGTCTCCCGTGCAGGCGCCCTGTAACAAAAACCTCTCAAAAAAAAAAAATGTGTTGGGACTTCATGTGTTGGAACTTGATTGTTACATACAGGTGTTAAATGAAAATTTCTTTATGGTGTCCCAGAGTGGGGCTTTTGGGTGTGATAGTGTCATTAGTGCAGGACCCCTGTGATTGAGTTCTGGTAGGTTTATACACATAGTGAATGAGAACAGAACAAAACACAGAAACATGGCCAGCCACTCTGCTCAAGATCCTATCCTCCTCAGGATATTGTAGCTCACCAGAAGTTAGACCCTGTACTTCCAAACTGCAAGGTGAATAAACTTCTATTTCTTTCTTTATTTCTTTCTTTCTTTCTTTCTTTCTTTCTTTCTTTCTTTCTTTCTTTCTTTCTTTCTTTCTTTCTTTTTTTTTTTTTTTTTGCCACTCAAGAAGCTTTCTCTATTTTATTTCTTCGGGAAAGGAAAATGAAGTCTTTCCATCAGAAATGGTAGAGATATATATTTATATATATTTATATATATACATATGTACAATTTCTTTTGTAGTTGGACATCCCAAAGCCTAGTCTGTTCATATTTTTTTTTCTATTTTTTTTTCCTACTAATGCCTTCTCTTCTCCCTGCCCCTGTACCCAGGCCAGGTTCTGGGGCAGGTATAGTGAGGGGTGAGTGGAATGGGCAGTGGTGCAGGGATAGCCTTCCACCCAGCTCAGAGACCTGGTGAGGACCACCCAGAAGGGGCTGTGCAGAGGGTCAGAGGCCACGAAGAGGGTACTTCTGTTTTTGTGGGGGTCGCACAGCTCATTAAACAGTCACCAGTCAAGGGAGGAGGCTGATCAGGGGCCAGGGGACTTGCTCACAGTAGTTACTAGCTCTCTCCATTCTGGCCCCAAACTTTGGGGGTAGAAGAGAGAGCAAAAAAGAGAGAAATCTAAGGGCCAAGCCTCCTCCAATTTTTATTGCTGGTGAATTAAAATTTGCTTTTCCCTTTCTGTCTTGGAGAGATGGCCTCTGAGAGGGCCCCAAGAGAAGAGATGTTACTGTCCCAGCCCAACGAATGGCCATGCAGGGCCTACCCTGGGCAAATGCTGGGCCACCTCCAAGCCCTGGGAACTGAGAGGTCAATGTTCCTCTCAGCTCAGCCTTGTTTTTCCAGGACAATCCCACCCAAGCCCCTGCCCCTGCCCCTGCCCCTGTCCCTGCCCCTGCACAAGGGCCTTGGGCTCAGACGGGCCAGTGGTGCTGGTAAGTAGGCAGTGTACCAAAGGTCATCCAGCCTCAGGTATTTCTGCTGGCAATGCAATAACAGACTAAGACAGAAAATAAGGCCAGAATGAGAACAATAAGCACATGGAAAAGGCTTTAGAATACTGGGGAAGGAAGGTACAAAAGAAACAGAAATGAATTAACCTATATTTTTACATATTTCAAGACCAACCAAAGCTGTTGCTGTATATACCAAAAGAGGAAAAGAAATTTCCTTTTTGAACCCTTTTGGAAAGAATGAGAATATGAATCTGGTATCATTATAAAACTCAAACACTAAATATTGAGTCATTGAAAAAGTCATGACACATTTTTGCATAGAAAAATATGTCATAACTTTTCCAACAACCCAATAGGTTTCTTGGATAGTTTAATGACATAGCTCTTATGGGAAAATGAATGAGAGTCTAAGCAACTTTACTGGACTCTTCTGGCTCTTACAACAATTACTAATTTTAAGAAATGTAATCAAGATTGAACCATAGGAAATTCACAATATTCAAGAGACTATGACCAACAAAAATGTCAGTTACACATAGTTCAGCTTAAAAGTTGATAAGTTCATGACTTCATGAGTTTACCTGAAATCACTTCATCAGAATGAGGAATTTGAAAAGCTACCAGGAATGTCATATAGTACAGTGACTTAAAAAAATGTATAAATGATACTGTTAAAAATAGTTATGTTATAATGCCTAGATCCAGGATCAAGTTCTCCGTGTCCATGTCAATTTATTCCATTTGTTATTTAGACAGAACATCCTTCTAAACAGCCCTAGGCATCCTAAGACATCTAAATCCATGGATGTTTTAGACCGAGGTTGACAATGGGTATTATGGGTTTCAGTGCATCTCTGGGTGAACTCAGTTTTTAATTGCACTACCTAATGCTCACAAGGAGGATTCTCCTGTGTGATCTGGTGTCCTGACAACTAGAACCTAACTTATGCCATAAGGGAAGACGGATTTATTATTCCTTTTCTTTCCTAGAATATAAAAGAAATTTAAGTCTCTCATTTAGCATCTCAAAGACTCTTAAGGTCTTTTTCAGTTCTATCATTTCAGTATTAGATCTTATTGGGTGTGTGTCTGTGGGGGGGGGGGACTATGCTTGTTTTCATAGGCATAGGGTATTTTTGTAATTATATGTAAGAAACAGGTAACACTAGTAGTTCTTTGCTTTTCTCTGTACTGAGCTTTTTCACACTGGACTTCTCTTTAATATCATGCATTATTTGCCAGAAAGAATTTAGAATGAATACAATGAATCTAAGCTAACAAAGCACTTTACTTGATAAAGCACAGAGCCCTCCCTGTATAAATGTTTATATCCTGTTCTTGTTCTTTATGAGCTTACCATTATTGTGATTTTTAAAAATACTACTTCTTAGGAACTGTGGGAGGCAGAACAGAGACACAGAAGATTTTGATCATGGAAACTGTTGCTTATTCTGCAAATATTTGTAACTACCTGTTATGGGATAGGGCCTGGGCTAGGTACTTCCTTCTTTCATACCTTGTGGAAGGCTTCTTGTGTAAACACCCAAGCATTCTCTCCCCCAACCCCCATTTGGGAGTTCTGCATGCTTAAAATGCTTCCCATAGATAAGTGGTGGTCTAGTCACCAGGCAGCAATAGATTAGCTCACCTGCAGGAGAATCACTCAAAGCACTCCCAGGTATGGACTGAGGCAGACACTACACTGGTGACCTGAACGTGTTAGAGGGCACTTTGTACAGAAGTGTGTGTCATCCTGAATAGATCTGCAATAATGAGAAAAAGAAGAGGAAAAAACAAATTTTTTTTTAAAAAAGGTGATGGAGGAAGGTAGTGACTGACCAAAGAAACTAGTACAGAAATATCTTCTCAAAATTACTGAATTACTCAAATGTTGATTCCAGAATTTTGCAAACAGCATCTCAATACATTAAAATAACTTGCAAAATCAAAGAAGATTGCTACTTTAGACAGCTTCTGTAAAGTGGTAGGACTTCCTTATGCCTATTCAGATTTGATATAGACAATGTGTAGATAAAAACAAGTATCTTAAACTCTCAATGTTTAAAACCCTCAGACATACAACTAATTCTCTGAACCTTCACAAAGATGCCCTGAGCATTGTTCTCCATTTCACAGAAGAGGAAAGTATAGTTTATGATCTGAGCCACAGGCCCATGGAAGCCTGATAGGAAAATGCCTGAAGTTTAGACTAGGACCCCAGAGCACTAAACTACTCCACCACAAGTCTCTCTAGGGATAAGGCACACATGACTTTATCAGGGAAATCTATTTTCATAAAATGGCAACAGCAAATTTTGTGATTTTTTTTAAAAAAATAATACTTCTTAGGAACCGTGGTAGGTAGAACAGAGACACAAAAGTATCCTAGGTATCCCCATTTCTCTCATTCTTTCCCTCCAAAGCACTTTTTGCAACCTAACTCATCTGGAAGTTTAGTTTGGATTATGGCACTCTTTTCTCCCTGGCATCTTTGCTACTTTCACGGGGCCTACAAAACAATGTGAAAGCACCACAGACTGGCAATTAGGTCTTCCACCTAATTTTTTCATCTTCTTTTTCCACCTGTGTCTCCATGACTACTCCAACCCTCTTTCCCATTTCCTTATGCTACTTCTTGCCAGCTGTATTCCAACCAAGCAGACCATCTAACTATCCTGCCTCCTTCATACCACCATCTAACATCCCAGAGGCAGGGCAGGGGGAAGTAGGATGCAAATTTTAAAGCTTCTCCAAAGAACTCAGTAGTCAAGATTAATATTTTAATGCAGTATTTTGTAAAAATCAAAGTTAATGCAAAAACGCATAATAAAAAAATTTCAGATGAAGATGGATTCAGTATGACTGATTTCTTTCCATTTCGCTTCAGAATCTAGAATGCCTTCAAGGGCCATTGTTACTGCAGTGCTTCCAACTGAGGTACTTTTAATAATGTTTCCCAAAGTTAGTTCTCAAAACTGCTTTCCACATTACTAACCCCTCTTTTCTTGAATGCTCCGGCATTTATTTGTAGCTCTTTTCTGTCAGGAAAACTTATTTCCCCCTAGAAACGGGTAGTACTTTGAAGGCAGTCTGAGTCATCTTGGCTCCTTTCCAGAGTCTTCTCAAACCACAGTGGGCATTCAGCACCTTTTTATTAAAAGAATGCAGAAATCATTGGCTTAAATTGTCTGTCTGTAGGATTGAGAAGGGAAGAGACCCAGATGTGTTGTGTTTGGTCCATAGAGTCTTGAAAATACTGAATTTGTTAACAAGATGTAAAGAAGCAGCTATTTTACGTGAAAATAAAAATCAACATCTCTACCATGTCTTGACAAAGCAGAAAAATCTAGCAAAACTGGGTCCAAATTCTTTTTTTTTAATTTTTTTTTCATTTCATTTTCTTCCATACATTCAATCACATTTATTTGTCTTACAAAATGAATATTTAAACAGGTGAACATTTCTCCCTAGTACTGTTGATAAAACTACGAAATATCTTCAACAGATAATACCACACCTCTTTGTGCCATTAATACTTGAATTCTTCCCTGATATAGCAATATAGAGACGAACAACGGTCCTGCCTTTAGAAAGCTCTCTTCAGTTCTACCCGTTTCTCTCCTCTCCCTTGCCTGCCTGCCCCATTAGCTCTTAAGAGTTTACGACCCAAGACATGAAGGAAGTCGTGCACTGGATAAAATACCACGGGCTGTGTCCACTTTTTCTTTCCTGGAGAATAAATGTTTCTTCGTTGTTTTTCTAATAGTCTTGCAGAGGCTCACAGAAACAGCCGCCCCTTTTTAGCCCACAAACTTCCCACCACCCGTGAAACTCGCATTGCCCTCCACACTGAGCAGTTTCTGCCTGGTCCTTTGCTGAGGGCCGCTGCCCTCCTCAGGCCCTTTTCTTCCTCCCCACCTACTGTGTTTAGGAGCCTGGGACAGGTCCCCAGCCCCCCCACCGCCGCTCTTTGCCCCGGACCAGGGCTCTGGGGCTCGCCTACGGCGACACTGGGCATGCTCAGAGGCGGCCGCGGGGGCAGGTTTGCTTGGTAGGCGCTCGCACTCGGCTGCGGGCGGTCGCGCGGCTGCAGCTGGAGCTCCAGCGCCCGGCGTTGGAGTTGCTGGGAGTTTCCCCCCCTGCCCCTCCTTCTTCGCGCGCGGCAGCAGGCGCCGGCGAG